TGGGGGTAGAGGGAGTGTTCGCCCAGGGCGCCAAACAGGCTAGGGCTGCCACTGGGTACTTTCACAAGTTGTTTTACATATTTTTCCCCTTTCTTTCTATGCATGCAGTTTTTATGTCCACGTGACCGTTAAAGTTAATTTAGGTGATGCTTTAAAATAAGTCAGCTACAGTAAGTGCATTGAGATGCAGGCCAGCTGCGAGGTTTGATTTTTCGGCTGACTTTTGGTGAATGAATGGTATATTCAGAATAATTATTTACATACTTGTTTTGTAAAGTAGTGCTTCTAAATGTTTGTTGATAGTTTGCCTTGCTCATTAACATCTGCTTCCTCTTCCTTTAACGGCTGCACCCTTTAAGTATCCATCTGACCCAATATTAATATCCTCTTCTGTCACACAGACCCTCCTCATATCCTCCTTTACTACATTCATGAAGCTGCTCTGTGGTCTTCCTGTTTTTCTCCTGTCTTGTGCTTCACATTCAACATCCTGTCTCACCTCAGCCTTGCCCCTTTTAACTTTGTTTCCACCTTCTCCAAACCACACATTGTAGCAGGTCTCACTACCACGTTGTAAACCTGCCCTTTCAACTTTGCTGCTTTCCTTCTGTTACAAATCAACCTGCTCCACCTTGCCTGCACTCTCCTCTTTACCTCTCTCTTGTATTTTCCATTAATAAACTTGCCCTTTCTATCACAGTTTGGCACCATACTTTATGACATACAGAAGACACCTGGGAGTAAGAAAGGATATAGTCTCTCTGCAAGGACTGCTGTGCGCTTTCCGCCTTGTAACAAGGTGCGTTTACACAAAGAAGTTTCCTGTTATACTGAGAGCACATTAAGAAGTGTATTAACAGCCTTACTGTATATCAGCCTAAGGGTCGTTCCACTTGGACTGTCTACAGTGGGGCAAAAAAGTATTTAGTCAGCCACCGATTGTGCAAGTTCCCCCACTTAAAATGATGACAGAGGTAATTTGCACCAGAGGTACACTTCAACTGTGAGAGACAGAATGTGAAAAAAAATCCATGAATCCACATGGTAGGATTTGTAAAGAATTTATTCGTAAATCAGGGTGGAAAATAAGTATTTGGTCACCTCAAACAAGGAAAATCTCTGGCTCTCACAGACCTGTAACGTCTTCTGTAAGAAGCTTTTCTGTCCCCCACTCGTTACCTGTATGAATGGCACCTGTTTGAACTCATCATCTGTATAAAAGACACCTGTCCACAGCCTCAAACAGTCAGACTCCAAACTCCGCCATGGCCAAGACCAAAGAGCTTTCGAAGGACACCAGGAAAAGTATTGTAGACCTGCACCAGACTGGGAAGAGTGAATCTACAATAGGCAAGCAGCTTGGTGTGAAAAAAATCAACTGTGGGAGCGATCATCAGAAAATGGAAGACATACAAGACCACTGATAATCTCCCTCGATCTGGGGCTCCACGCAAGATCTCATCCCGTGGGGTCAAAATGATCATGAGAACGGTGAGCAAAGATCCCAGAACCACACGGGGGGACCTGGTGAATGACCTGCAGAGAGCTGGGACCAAAGTAACAAAGGTCACCATCAGTAACACACTACAACGGCAGGGAATCAAATCCCGCAGTGCCAGACGTGTTCCGCTGCTGAAGCCAGTGCATGTCCAGGCCCGTCTGAAGTTTGCCAGAGAGCACATGGATGATACAGCAGAGGATTGGGAGAATGTCATGTGGTCAGATGAAACCAAAGTAGAACTTTTTGGTATAAACTCAACTCGTCGTGTTTGGAGGACGAAGAATACTGAGTTGCATCCCAAGAACACCATACCTACTGTGAAGCATGGGGGTGGAAACATCATGCTATGGGGCTGTTTTTCTGCCAAGGGGACAGGACGACTGATCCGTGTTAAGGACAGAATGAATGGGGCTATGTATCGTGAGATTTTGAGCCAAAACCTCCTATCAGTGAGAACTTTGAAGATGAAACGAGGCTGGGTCTTCCAACATGACAATGATCCAAAACACACCGCCCGGGCAACAAAGGAGTGGCTCCGTAAGAAGCATTTGAAAGTCCTGGAGTGGCCAAAATACCAGCTACTGTGTGTGCAAACCTGGTAAAGACCTATAGTGAACGTTTGACTTCTGTTATTGCCAACAAAGGTTATGTTACAAAGTATTGAGTTGTATTTTTGTTATTGACCAAATACTTATTTTCCACCCTGATTTACGAAAAAATTCTTTACAAATCCTACCATGTGGATTCATGGATTTTTCTTTCACATTCTGTCTCTCACAGTTGAAGTGTACCTCTGGTGCAAATTACTGACCTCTGTCATCATTTTAGGTGGGGGAACTTGCACAATCGGTGGCTGACTAAATACTTTTTTGCCCCACTGTACTTACAGCCTTCGCCTGTATTAACGATGGTCAATGCCTCCAGGACTTGAAACTAGCTCCACTGCATAAGTGTCTGAAATTTGTGTCATTTCTAAGGCCAGCAGGAGTGGTTACAAACATAAGTTGGTTTGCAAAAAGAGAAGCCTGTGAGAAAGCCACCCTACTGCTCCCTTGATTTCTTCTTTGGAAATCCTCTCATGAGTTCAGTCTTTTTTAAGGTTCAGATTTTGATATATTACGACAGTTTAGCCCAAACCTCTACATTTATTTCCATGTTGCCATGAAGTGACTATCTTAGGACATCTTCATATTGCCCAGCGGTTTCTTAAAGGTTTTTTAGTTGTTATCATGGTATTGTAATTTTTAAATGTATTGGGGTTTTTTGAGGCAAAAATGATACTAGGACGATAGAATGTATAAAAAATGGAGGGAGCTTCCAGGTCTGACCTCTGTGGCTGGAAAAGGACTTCCAGTTGGATAGAAATTGGCCTTTGGCCACCTTGCTCTGCATCCTTAGTAAACACTTTCCTGTTAACTTTGGGAACTCGTGCACTAGTTTCTGATTATATTGAACAGAAGATTAAGTCAGTTTTTCAAAATAAGATCATTCCAAGAGTCAGAAAAGAGCTTAAGTTCAATTTGTGATGAGTTTGTGGTTTTACAGTTAAATCCACTCCTCGGTTATCACATCTGATATGAA